AGGAATGCCTTTAAGTTTAGATACAAAAGTGTCTTACATTGCTAATAAATATCTTAAATTAATAGGCAAAGTGTTTGACCTACAAATACTCTCAGTAAGTATTTGCTAAATGAATGAATGATTTGTTGAGCATCCTCTGATTAAAAACATATATCTGATTTCGTGTATGCCATGCTGGGTAGTCTCTTTACTATCTAAATGATGTGTAGTAGTTGAATATATAAATAATAAGAAGAAAAAAAAGAAAAGAAAAGAAAACCTCTAACCTTTAAAAAAAATTTTAATTTACATGAGGGCCAGCAGGTAGAATGGTAGGCAAGGTGGCTGGATTCCCACATAGCCAACCATGGTTCAAGCCCCAGACCCGGTGGTTTGAGAATCACACTAGTCACATGTGTGTGTGTGAGCCCCAAATCCTAAGAGAAGAATGAAGGGGGAAGGGTTGCAGAATGGCCATTCCCGCTGGGGGATGATTTCTCACTTTCCTTCTTTCTATCTTTCTCGGGCAAGCTCGCACACCCTACAGCAAAATAAACAAATAATGTGCATGTAGCCACTGAACTTTTAGTTGTGATTCATAATACATAGCCATATGTAAAATATCCTAAAGCTTTAGTATGTTCCAACAAAAGTATGTCCTTGAACACTGGAAGGAGACAGAGCTTTTTAGAAAAAAAAAGAAAAAGTAGTTCAGATAACTCTTGAGAAATACTCTGAGATTTAAACAAGACCACAGTATATTCAGGAAGGCAAAGCAGGAAGTACTTTATCTTACCAATATAAAGTGAAATAGACCAATGAATCTGATTCCACTACATTAGCAGAGAAATGTTAAGGCAAGAGAATTCTGTAGTTATCCACCTTCCCTGGAAGCTGTCAGTGAATGTGTACTTAGAACTCCACACTGTTTCAGGGAGTCCAGTTTATCAGTACTTTCAGCCCAAAGCAGTTTCCAGTTTCTTCTATGCAATAAAGCCTTATTACTTTCTGACAACCCGATATGTCCTGTGTTTCCTGATTATCTTTCTTTCAAACTCTATGCAGAAACACAATTTCAATGTATTGAAGAATTCTATAAGAACCCCAAATTCACTGCCCAAATTCACAAATAAACCTAATACAGAGCCCTAGATCCTAGGTCGATATTGACAGATGCTATTGCTGAGCTCCAACAGAAAAGATGAAGATGGTTGATATCCAAGTCTGACACCATAACAAACCACATATGTTTTCCTAGTGGCAATTCATAAAACAAGAACCACCATGATGCAATCAGAGAAGCCTTGTTTATTAATGAATGCTTTTATCACTGTTTTCTCATGTGGCAGGTCAATAAAAAAAGACAGCATACAAATAAATTAGCTGAGGATATGAGGTCTTCCTTTCAGAAATAATATTCCACAATAGGTTTGATGTCTGCCACCCAGATCCACCCCAGGGCTGGATCACTGGGGTCTGTCCTACACTCATGAAGACATTTTCATCCTGCAGAGGAACTCGCTCTGATAATGAAAGATAATGTTGTGATCCCTGCAAATTCAAGGTGAGCTTAGAGAATTCTCCTGATAGGAGAGCAGATCAAGTGCTTAGGCAGGGTGTAAAATAAATAACAGTAAGACAACTTACCCCATCACTATGAAGCAAAAGACTAGGCACTTTGGTGCTTAGTAGGTCACACTGCACCTAGAGCATTTACAGGAGGCAAATTTCTCACTGCACTTAAAGAGGATGAATTGGCTGTATGTTGGTCAATGGCTATGTCATTGGCTTGCCATCTATGAAGTTCGTTCTTTTTTTCTTAGTTTTGGCAGAGGGCATATGCAAGAGAGAGGCAGAGAGACAGAAAAGACAGAGAAAAGCAGCTCCCATGGAAGATGATCACACATAATCCCTTCTCCCTCATTTCTCCCCTTTTTTTCTTTTTTTGGTATTTTAGGTACAGACACACATGTTTCTGAAGTCACAGCATCTGAGATCAACCTGTAAGGTCAGCTCCATGGGATCCAGCTTCTGTAACTAATGGGCCATGGAGACACCAACCATATCAACCTTTTCCTGAGTCTTCAAATCACTGCGGGTCTGAATTATCTGCATAATATTCACCTTTTATGGATTCCCCTCACCATTATTGTGCATGTGTGACCCTCATTTGCAGTCTTCCGGTGACACCATTCATTCAAGAGGCTTCCAGTAACAGCCTATAGTTTTGGTTTGGGCAAGCTGTGCTTATCAGTCCTATCAGCATTCATCTGAGGGCTTTCACTTGAGAGATGGGAAGAAGTGTTGGTTTATTCCACCAGACTCGAACCCTGGGGAAATGCTCTATAGAAAACCTGGCAGAGGGCAGCAGAACCCAGTGAAGAGAAAAAAATACTAAGACTTTGTAGCTTATTTGAATCTTTTCAATATAATTTTTTTTTTAATTTGCTAGAGGGTGTGTGTGCTCATCAGAAGAAAACAGAAAAAGATGGAAAGAGAAGGAGAGGGAGACAGCACCTCCTCAATGAGGTGTCATCACATCACAATCCCGTCTCCTCTGTTTCTCCATCCCATCAGGATTTGAGGCATGCATGTATACATACCTGGCATGTTTTTCAAGCCACTGAGGCCAGGATTCAAACCATGTGGTAGGCCATATGGGTCCCAATCCTCTTATCTGCCAGGCTACTGGGCCAATGCTCAACTATAATTTTTAGTTGATGCATAATTTCAGTCTTAAATTCAGTAATGCCTGAAGTTAGCCTGAAACTTGTACTTTCCAGTTATATGAGACAATAAATTCTATTTTCCACCTAAGCCAATGAGTTGAGTTTTTTTAGTTGAAACTAAAAAGAGTATAACTGATACAAATATGCCATATTTTTTCAGCACATTTCAACCTCCTTAGAGAGAATTATGCTACTCCTTATATCCTTAGTCTGATACAAAGTGCATGGTAGTCCCTTGAAAATGCATTGCTTCATTGTTTTTTTCTGGATGGTTCTACTTTCCTAGAAAGTAGAAATACATTCAGAATGCTCATGGCAAACCCACTCTCTGGCTTAAGCAAGTTTGGTACTCTCCAAGTTAGGTACTGGTTCTGAATTCTCATCCCCTCTAAAGCTGGGCACGTCTACCTCATGACCTGATTATTCAGAACTCACAGTCCAAAGCCAGAGTGACTAAACGAAAGATCATATTCCAGTTTTAAAGCCACTCAATATGTTTTTTATGTCTATAGTGGTCAAATGTTCTGGCCCCCAAATAAAAACAGATGAGAGTTTCCTATAAAATTCTGATCATATGGTTCCTCCTTTCTACAGTTGAGACAACTGTAATATAAATCTCCATGAATTTCCCCAGGTAATTTATTTCATGGAATGTTGCCCAGAATAATAATGTATTTCCTTCAGGTTCTAGGGCAACTCAACATGTACATAAACACTCCTTCCACAATTATATATTAAGTAGCTAGTACATGTATAAGACGAATTTGTATGTATATAGACAGTATATGGCCACAAGATGACCAGATGGCCACCTTGGTCAGAAAAGCAACCCATTCTTTTGGCCAGTCATGCAATAATGCACGCAGCAATAATGTAATGCTCTGTATCGCTAAAGCCACATAAGATCTCAAAGTCTCCTTATATAACTGTGATTCTGGCTGAGGACAGAGTGGGACTGTGGCATAAAGACCTGCTGAGGGTGCTCCCCTAAAGAAATAAATAAACAAACTTAAAAAAAAAAAAAGAACTGGCTCCATGGTGCAGCAGTAATATGCTGCTCAAGAGAAGCTGGCTCCTATGTGGTGCCTGTGGCTCGAACCCCTGATCTGATCAGCCTGGAACACTCAAATTACATGGCATGAGTATCCAGGATATGACAGGACAGGCTGAAAGACAGGAAGAAGAGGATTATGGAGTGACCAGATCTTGTGGAAGGGGCTTCTCTCTTTCACTTTCATGTGACCATGAAATAAAGAAAAAGTAAATTAAAATTAGAAAACTGTTATTTAAATACATAAAAACAAGATAAGCAACCCACTCACTTGACCCATATTCAAATCCTGCTGGGTCATGTTGCATTATAGACTGTTCTTCAGTCTTTTCCTTGGCCTCTCTCAATTCAAGGTGAGGGATACAGGTCAATATCTATTTCACAGGACATTCCAACTCTATCCTTTTTTTTTCTTTCTCCACCTTCCTGCCACTGGGAGAGAACCTGTCCCTTCCATTGGAGGGCCTCCTAGGAGGCCCTGCTGCCCTCTCCTATTGTATTGCTCAATTGCAGACTTGTTTCTTATAGATACAAATTCTATAAGTACTGATTGCACCCAGTGATCCCTTTCACTTTCCCCATATGGACAGTTAGTTTTGCATTTGGCAGCCAGAGTCTGGAGTCCACGGATATATTAACTAGGTGAAAGCTCAGAGCCCCTAAATTTCCATGTGTGTGTGTATATATATATATATATGCATATATAATCTTGTATCACATGCAGCTACAGATGTGAGACCAGCAGCTACCTCTCCTGAAGTTACGGGCTGAACTCCTCCTGGCTTCCACAAGATTCTGGGCATGGGCAATCTGGAGCACCAGTGCCCTCTCATGGATGAGCCATGAAGCATCTCCAAGGGAGCATGCACACCCTAGCTCATTTTAAGACAGTGCTAGACAACGCCTCTTAGCCACTGTCCTCCTTCTTTGCAGTTAAGGACAATCGCAGTGTACTGGTCTGAAGAAGCTGACTGCCCAGTCCCTCCATTGCCCCCAGACAAGAATCTGTCCCTGCAAGGTAGGTCCCTGCTGAAATCACCATTTTAAAGTGTCATTTCTTAAAGATTTCATCCCAACTAAACAGCTATCTTAAAATGATTCACTTTCAGAAGGTCTGAGTCACTTACCAGTTAGTAAGCAGTCATTTATAGAATTCTTCCTTAACATCAAACCTTGACCTAAGGCAAAATGAAGGAAATTGAGGGCACTTGGAGTCCAGGGAATGGTTTGAGAACAGAAGATCTGCCCTAAGGACAAACTTGACTTACTAGATCCATGCATATTATATTAATGCTCCCAATGATTTAAAAATACACAGAATATTATCATCCTGATGCACTTTATAAGCAAGGGAATCAACTCTGACATCATGAAATCTGGCATGTTTTCAACGTTCAATAGATTGGTCCCTTCTTCACTTTGCTATTTCATACGGTGTAGTCGATGTTCTAAGAGGGTATCTGCAAAAACTGGGTCACTGTTTTTTAATGTCTACTAATAAGGGAATGCAAGATAGTAAAGCAAAGTAGGGAAGAAAATGTAGCCAAATACTAACTGCAATCTGAGTTTTTATACAATTCCTGCTCTGTTTTTGTTCTTGTTTTTGTTTTTTTTTCCTCCCAGTTTGCTATAGGGCACACACTCTTACTGCGGAGAGAGAAAGAATGCAATCCCTTCTGCTCTATTCTCCTCCAAGGATTCTGGTCACTCAGACACACACACCCAGTATATTTCTTTCTTTCTTTCTTTCTTCTTTCTTTCTTTTTCTTTCTTTCTTTCTTTCTTTCTTTCTTTCTTTCTTTCTTTCTTTCTTTCTTTTTTTTAAGAGAGAGAGATTTTTGCTATAGGGCATCTGCACTCACTGGAGAAACAGAGAGACAGAAAGTGAGAAATCACCCCAGGAGGGATGACTAAGCTGCCATTCCCTCTCCATTCTCCTCTCAGGATTTTGAGTGTACATGCACACACACCTGGCAAGAGTTTCAAATCACCAGGTCCGAGATTTGAACTGCAGTCAAGCATGTGGGAGTCCAATGCCTTAAACAACATGCCACCTGCTGGCCGCCAAATCCTCTTTTTAATTCAACAATTTAAGAAAAACCTTAGGTTTTGGGGCTGACAGGTGGCATGATGGTTAAGGGAACTGGACTCCCCCACATGGCTGATCCCAGTTTGAGACCTGAACCTAGTGGCTTGCTTTCTATTTCTCACTCTCTCTCACTCTTCCTCTCACTGTCTCTCTCTGGTCAAATTAAAATAAATAAATAAATAAATAAATAAATAAAGTTAAATATATTTTTTTTTAAAAAAAGGAAAACTTTAGGTATCTAGTGACCAAAATCATCCAAATAAAGAATTGTCATATTTTTCTCTAAGCAACATTCACCCTTTCAAAAATGTTATTCACTTGCTTTCTCCATGAGAGTGAGACAAAGAGAGAGGGAGAGAAGACAAACATAAAAAAGGTACCTTTACCAGGATACTCATACCACAATAATCCACCTCCAGTTTAGCCAACCTAGATCATAGGCTGAGATGCCTCTGGCAGCTAGGAGTCATCAGAATGAGAACCAGGAATCTTCCCATGTGGGTTCAATTGCCCACTACTATACCATTATCTGTTCGATGAACAGAAACTTTCCTTCCTAATCATATATGCTAATGACATTACTCACTTTCATCAAAATTTAGGTTAGCTCCTAATTCTGTCATGAAATAGATATATATCTCATTAAGATAGCAGGTAGTACCTTTCATGCAATCTTGAAAAACGGGGCTGAAGGAAGCCAATATCTTTCTACAAAGTCAAGCATCTGAGGTTGCTGGAGAGCCAGAGGTCATAGTCTACTAGCCACATGTTGTTACTCACACTGTTATCATTATCCGCAGTATTACTGGGAGCTGTGGTGATATTCCTTGGCAGGACAGGCCTTTAAATGGATTATGTAGTACTAGCAGTGTTTAGTTTCAGGGTAAGATAAGAAAGGCCACTTCCAAGCTCCTCATAAGCTTGGAAGGTATGCTTTTTCTCCTTGAAGAGTGAAAGCATGAGAATTTAACTGACTAGTCCCCAAAACATACTAGCTTGGCAAGGGAGCTTGCCTGGAAGTGTCCCAGTAGTGAGAGGAGAAGCTTGTTTAGGATTGAAAAGTATAATAGAAAATCTACTACCTTACAGATCATTTATAAGTTAAACATTGAGAGAGATGCATCTTTTCCTTGAGGGTCTTATTTTGATTGGTAATATTTCTCTTCAGAAAACATCCTATAGGACCATGATAATATTGTTGTAGAGATAAATAACTGGGAACAAGAGGGGTTCAGTGAATTCTCCAAGGTAACCCAGCTAGTAAGTGACAGGTTTATCAGCTGATTTGGGGGTTTTCATTTCCACCCAGTGTTCTTCCCACTATTGCATGCTGTTGTCTTCCAGGTTAGACCCACATATAGCCAATTGTACAAAGCCAGTTACTATTTGTTTATCACCACTGTGTTTCATGTTTTGCTATGGCCCATTTTAATGAGTAGGCAGCGGTGAAACTCTTGTCTGCTATCAGCCATGTAGCCAAGCTATGATGTCCAGTATAACTACATTGTACAGTTCTCATCGATTTGTGGAAGTGTACAGATGCCATCATCATACGACCTCCAGCCATGCATCTCAGCTGATAGTCGAGTCAGTCTCGACTGACACAATCAAGTTGCAAGTCGGTCTTTATTGACACCAACATTTCCCAAGTAAGTTATGTATTAGATGATTATTCCCCCACGCCACCACCAAAAAAAAAAAAAAAAACACACAAAACAAAACAAACAGTGGAAGTGCCTTGACTTTCTTTAAAAGAATCAGCATGAGGATCCAAGTCTCCCATACAGGTTATCTCCCTTGTCACAGCTCACCATCAAAAGTTTATCACATTCTATGGACTGGTTTGCTTCAAATTGTAAGACAAAATATGCTAGGAGACTCTCAGATGGTGACAGAGATAATATGCCTCTCCACTTCTCTGGAAACAGATACTAGTATATAATATTAGGCCCAAAAATTATTGACTGTGGAGGTCTCAGTTGTCAGTTCTATTAAGCTTTTGTTATTTTTTTTAAATTAAATCCAAGTCCTGGTTAGGAACTTAATTTCTGAACTGAACTGGGGTAAGTTTTCTGTTTATAGACCTTGCTAAAAGATTAGCTTGCTAACAATAGCAGAGAAACACTGTATGAAATTTAAAATTTTTCTATGCAAATTTCAACCCATATCCCTCTATTGATTAGCCATACCTAATCGCTCCGCTTTTCTCTTTCTGTTTCTGACTCCCACCTCTTTCTCATTCTCTTCAGGGCTAGTAAGTAAAAGAAAGAACATTGAACTTCTATCTGTCAAGAGCTCTGAATTATAATTCTGGAGAAGATGATTGTGGGAAAGCGGGGCTCCAATGATTTGTTTTTATCTCAATCCAGTAGGACCAGGGTTAACTAAGACTTGGCTCTGGCATTTCCTCTTCCAAAAAGAGAAATAAGCAAACATGCACTCCGACATATCTTTGCTATCTCAACAAAAAGCTTATCTCCCCCCTCAGCTGCCTGCCAAGCCCCAGAAGGTTTCAGGGTCAATGATTATCATCTCTCCATTCAGACACTTTGACATCTGTGAATATGTTGACCTTGAAGAATGAACAGAATCATTCCTAACAGATGTTAATTTGATTGCTCAGTTCTGACCTCTTCTGAGATCTGGCCTTTGTCTTCATCGCTATATTAAGATGGTGATAACCTCTCTGAAGTCATAAAAATGTTCTGATAAGACTTATCGATCCTGGATTTGAAATTAAACAGATAACCCAAGTGTATTATGGTAAACTTTTAACCTACTCCCTAAGACATATGTCCACCAAGACAGAAACAATAATTCATGGTTTTTTTTTTTTGGTCTCATAAACGACCTCTCTCTTATTTTTACATTAATAATTACTGCTATAAAATTAACACAACTTAACTATTCACTTTGCATTTCTCTTTCCCAGCTTCTGCCAAGAATAAGGACCACTATAATCAAGGAATTAATGAAATTCTTTCCTTTAGAAAATTTTGGACTGAAAAATTGGAATACAACAATGAGATACTAAAAATAGTAATAATTAACTGGTTACCTTTAACAAGTCTCGCAGATTTCAGTCCAGGGTTAAAAATGATAACTATCTCTTTGTACAGCTAAGGATATAAAAGCCCTGAAGTGGGGACAGGGGGAGATAATCATTTTCTACTGTTGTGTTATTATAGAAAGTGTGTGATTTGGAAGTCAGGCAGAACTGGTCTTAAATCTTAGCTCCACAATCTATTAGCTAGTTGTTCTTTGTCAAATGTCAAATTAGTAGACAGACCTGGGTATGAATTTCCTCACAGGTGTTAAGATGGGGATATGGGGAAAATACAGGGTTATTAGAACTCAAAAAAATAAAAGGGGGACCAGCATTTGGCGTAATGGCTATGTCGCTGGACTCCATGTAGTCAACCATGGTTCGAGTCCTGGACCTGGTGGCTTAAACTCATGTTGGGCCTGTGTGCATGCATGCCCAAGATCCTGAGAGGAAAATGGAGGAGAAAGGACTGTGGTGTGGCCATTCCCCTGGGGGGAGTGATTTCTCACTTTCTGTCTCTCTGTTTCTCTTTGTCTTTCTGGTGAGTGCACGTGCCCTTTAGCAAAAGCCTCTCAAAAAAAAAAAAAAAGAAAGAAAGAAAAAGAAAAAGAAAACTTTCTTCAAACATATAGTTCTCAAAGGACACTAAAGTGTAGTCCTCATTCCCAAACTTCCTTGTTAACTGTGCCTTCAAATTCTAACTAATGAATAAGATACATATTAATGACACATTTTCTGTTGCTGATAAAAGCCTCTTAACCTAAGATAGAAATGTTGGCCAAATGCTTTCAGAATGACAGAGATAGAAGTTTAAGGTAAGGGGGAAAATATACTAGTAACTAATCTATTGAAATGTCCCTAGAATGAGTAAATTGTTTCTTGA